GGAAATAGTATATGAATTTGTTGACAAAGTGATAATGAATCATAATATGATATTATATACGGGGTGTTCTATTCGAAAAATCAAAGAAGCCGCTACTTTATAGTAGAAGCGACAACGCCGCTTCGTCTGAAGCGGCGTGTAGGTTATATTGATTTATGCATACTGTGAAATTTTCAGGTTGATCCGTTAAATAGTTTGTCAGAAATGGCTAATTAACGCTCATCATGAAAAGCCTCTCAGTCAAAAAATCAAAAATCTCTGCTTCACTTAGCCAAGCTTTCGCTTCTAATGGGAAGCTTCTTCAGGGCAGTAAAAATGAGCGAAAAACAATAAATTGAACATATAAATTGACGAGAAAGTTAAACATGTATAGGATTTTTTGTGGGTTTGACAAATGTCATACCTTCACATAAATGTCATTTATGCAGTCCCTCATCTTGCGTAAAAAATTCGTCCTTCAGTTGGAAGTAGCAAGTTCGTACAAATCAGCCTAGTAATGCCATGATTACTTGTATCGGTAAGTTTGTTCTATCTTTCAGGTCCCCATATTCGGATAGCTTCTTCTGTATTATTTGAAGTGCTTCTTCGACAGGAACGTTGGTGTAGAGGCTTTCCACGTCGAAACTGATCAGTTGATCCTGCTCTTTGACTTCGATTTCACCTAGTAGTTCAACGAAATGCCTTGAATTTTTCACAAAAGATGATGTTTTACCTTGCACTGGTTTGATTATTGGTAGTAAAAATCTGGACAAGTTCTGAGTGGCTGAATCTCTGGAGCTAATGATCGGTCTGAACGGAACATCCTTTTTGTGGATTTCGGCAAATCCGAAATAGCAGAGCATATTTGGACTCATCAACATAACATCAAAGGGGCTCATAATTTGTTAATAATATTTTTTCAATTTTCAGCTTTCATTAATATTTGAATTTTATTATTTTTTTTGGTTGTTGCTTGTATGTTATTTCTTTGTAATTTCAGTTTTTTGTTTAATAAAATTTTAATTTTCGGTTAATCTTTTCAAATTTTTTTAAAGTTTTCCAAATCAATTTATATTATATTAGACAATGGAAGACCGAACTGATGAAATAAGAATATCTTTTTCGAACATATGTAGTTTCTC